GGATGTAGGCTGCCCGCTTTCCTTCCTCACTATCAGGGAAGCTGGTCTATGAAGGAAGCTGTCTCTGCTGGGAAAAACAGAGATGAAGAGCATGGGTGGGGGGGGGGGGGGGGCGGGGAGGGCGGCAAGGGGAGGCGGGTGTCTCTCTGGCCCAGGCACCCTCTCCCGCCCTGCCCACCCCTCTCTCTCCTGCAGCAGGATTCCATGGAACAACCAATTCCCTGTTTCAGCGAAAGCTAGTTTGGGTTGGTTTCTTCCCATTTCAAATAAGGAAATTAGTGGCTGGAGTGATAGCACAGCGGGTAAGGCATTTGTCTTGCAAGTGGCCAATTCAGGTTCGGCAGACCACCAGCAGTGATTCCTGAGGAGCCGGGAGTAATTCCTGAGCACCGCCAGATGTGGCCCCCAAAACATAAAAATTAAACAAAGTCCAGATCAAAAAGATAAAATAACTGGCACAGTAATACTCCACTGCTTTTTTTTTAAACAAAGCTACATATATTGATGTGAAATATAAATACATATAAATGGAAGGAAAAAATGTTTTATAGAAGTTTAGCCTGTCAGGCCTGGAGTGATAGCACAGCGGGTAGGGCGTTTGCCTTACACGTGGACAACCCGGGTTCGATTCCCAGCAGCCCATATGGTCCCTGAGCACCGCCAGGAGTGATTCCTGAGTGCATGAGCCAGGAGTAGCCCCTGTACATAGCTGGGTGTGACCCAAAAAGAAAAAAAAAAGTTTCACCTGTGTGTGTTGTGTGGATGACTTGTATGGAATGTGCACAACTCTCCCTTTTCATTTTCCTATGCCTCCTAGTACTTTTATGACTTTTCCTACAAGGATATATACTTAATACTTAGCCTACTTTTTTTTCTTTTTGGGTCACACCCAGCTATGTACAGGGGCTTCTCCTGGCTCATGCAGGAGTACTTTTATAAAACTTTTATACTCTACTTTTATAAAACTTTCAAGCCAAAAATAATTACTGGGCATAACCTGGTAGCATGTTTACCTTATATAGAAGTTCCCATTCTGTGGCCTCTATTCCATTTCCATGCAGAGAAGTGAGCACTTGGAGAGCCAGGTTCTGAGTCCAGGCTGCCATCAGGCAGGCACATTCAGCAGCCTGAGACAAATCACTGGCCTCGAAGCCACTGGGTCCCCATGGGTGGCTGAAGTGAGGCAGAGGGAGAGACGATCACTTTCTCCCAATCCACCTCTGCCGAGATGGCATGGGGAGGTTAGGCAAAGTCTAGAAAGTGAGTCCTAGGCCTTCCCCGGGAATTTCAGGAGGAGATGAACAGTGAAATAAAACAGATTTTATTGGGAGGCTTTCAGGAAGGGGAAGGAGGGAGAGCAAAGGGAGAGAGTCACTCAGGGGAGAACATGGGCTGCTCCAGAGACAGAGAGAGCCCCTGCACACACCCCAGCAGTAGACAGGGACCATGAAAGGACCCATCTCGAGACGGAAGATTCAGGCACCACATGTGCTCAGTCAAGTGGGCACAAGCAGCCAAGGTGGCGCTCACAGGGTTTCTCCAACCTGCCCTCACGGGTCTTTCTCCCTAGGTCAGAGTCCATTGCTAGAGTGGTCTCCAAGGGGGCTGATTTGGGAGTGGTCTTGGCCTTCTTTTAAATTCCTTTCCTGGCCTTTTGTCCCTGCTGGAGCTTCTCTGGAAGGGGGGGGGGGGGGGGTTCAGCCTTCTCTGGGTCCTTCTCTGGGTCTGTTACTGGCGCCAGGAAGATCTTATCAGGCCTAGGCCTTAATTCTTGCAGGGGCTATTGGATTTATTACTTCTCCGAAATTCCATTGTCCTGGGGGGCCTTTCCCGGCTACTTGCCTGCATCAGCCTCTGCAAAACTCCCTTCTTTCCAAAAGGGGTCTTTACTCTTTTGGCGGTTCCAACCGTACCAGGAACTGTGCTAAGTGGAAAAGAGCTCACAACAGCTCTTTGTGTTCGGCTAATATCCCCATCTTTTAGATAAGAAAAGTGAAGCAGGGGGCTGGAGCCATAGCAAAGCAGGTAGAGCCTCGCACACAGCCAACCCAGGTTCGATTCCCAGCATCCCATATGGTCCCCTGAGCCAGGAGTAAATTCCTGAGTGCAGAGCCAGGAGTAACCCCTGAGCATTGCCGGGGCTCAGGTGTGACGCAAAAAGAAAAAAAAAGTGAAGCAAGTGAGATTCCTGAGCGCATGCGTGAAGGCAGGAGCGGGTCCTCCAAGCACGCCTGGACGCAACCTCCCAGCTCAGATCCAGGACCAGCCACTGCGTAGCACCAGGCATGGCCCCCCCAAAGGGAGGAAAACTGAAGCAGGGTCCAGAGAGATGGCCCAAAGGTGAAGGCACCTGACTTTGCAAGTAGCTGCCCCTGGCCCAAACCTCGGCACCAGGCAGCTCCCCAGCCTTGCCTGGTACGTTCTGGAGTCCGTGAGCAGATGAGGTGAGCTGAGTGACCTCCGGTACCCAAAGCCTGGGCAGTGTTAGGGCACGACTCTGGATCTCCGACTGCAAGCAAGGACCACGAGGAATGCAATCAGCAAGCAGGTAGTTTATTGAGCTGGCTAGCCAGGGTCAAGCCGTCAGGCAAGACCCCGAACTTCTTCAAAGGGGATCTTATGTAGGCCTTCACTGGTCGTTACAGCAAAGCCCGCGCATTTCATAGCCAATAGATTTGTAACAACATATACTTTCTTAACCAATCCATTTAAAAGTACATCACTCCTTAGCCTATAGATTTGAAGATCGGTGTTTACGTACATAGGCATTGTGGCAAGTGGGCATCTGGTAACTCGGACATTTGGTTATTTTCTTTGTTCCCTTTGATTCTCAGCTCAGGACTCCTGAAGGGAAAAGTTCCTAACAGAGGTAACAGATAAGGAAGGGCCAACAAATGGTTTCGGAATTTATATCCCAACAGGGAAGAGTCAACAAACAGTTTCAGAATTTACATCCCAATAAGTAAGCTCTACTCTAAAGCTCTACTAGGGAGGGGGCAGGAAAGGGAGAGTTACTAATTAGCAGAGTTTAGCTCTGGAATTTTTTCTCAGGGTCCCTAGGGACCTTACTGGCAGTACCCCATCATTAGCGTTTGGTTGGCCAAGAATCACTGGGAGAGGCCCCCAGATATCCTGCGCACCCTTTGGGATACCCCATCCCTCACTTCAAAAAAAAAAATTAACATGTCACACAAAAATAAGTAAAATCTGAAGCACAAGTGCAAGAATCAGAATTCAGATGGTCTCAGCTGACCACCACCCCAAACTTTATCCTTGCCCCTACACGGCTACTAAAACAGACTTGACAGTATCTGTGGGAAGTGTCTCATTCCGCCAATGAAAGCGAAGCCGTCGTGGTTTCCGTGGTGTCAGACTCTGAAAGTCTTCTCAAGCTCAGCACAAGGGAACCGGGGCTGAGCAGCTCACTGCTGGCGGCACTGCCAAGTGAGGCCTGGTGCCTGCACACAGGTGGTCAGAGGCTCCAGTCTGCACCAAAATTGCCTCCAGATATGAAGCCCGGCGTGCCCTGGGGGAACTCACCCAGACAGAGAGGCACCTCTCTTTTAGGAGAAAAAAGCCAAATTCCTGCATTAACCCATATGAAAAGTATATTGAAAGATACTGAATTGGATCTAGTGTCAGTGTTTTGGTTTGGGGAGATGAGAAACCACCCCATTTGGGGGGGGGGGGCGCGGGGGGGGGGGAATGAGCAACCCTTAGAGGTCACTCCTGTCTCTGTGTTCAGGGACCACACCTGGTGCTACTTAGGGGACCATATGTGGTGCAGGATTCAAACCGCTGTTGTTGCCATCCCAGCCTCATGCAGAGCAAATGTCTTTACCTCTGCAGTTTAGCCCATCAGTGAGTGTGTGTGTGTGTGTGTGTGTGTGTGTGTGTGTGTGTGTGGCCACATGTGGCAATGCTTAGGGGTTACTCCTGGCTTTGCACTCAGGAATTACTCCTGGCAGGGTTCAGGGAGGAATATATAGGGTGCTGAGAATCGAACCTGAATCAGATGCATGAAAGGCAGGTGCCCTACCCACTGTATTAGCTCCAGCCTCATTGATGTATAGTTTTACTTACATGTTTGTTTGAGGCCACCAATTCTGGCTAAAGTCAGCTCTAAGTATTTTGCAGTTATGTGCCAGATGCCGGGCCGAGGGGCAAGTTCTCTGGGCTGAAGTGCATGCATGAGGGAACCCCAGAAGCATACGCCCCCCCCCCCAAGCACCATAAGGAGCATACACCGAGCAACAAGCAGGAAGCAACAACCAGCACTATTGCATGTCATTCCACACCCTCACCCCGGGGGAGAACAAACAGCAGAATACCGTATCCGACCATCCACCAATGCATGCTCAGAATACTATATCTGACCATACACAAATGCATGCTCAAAAATTTGGGGAAAGAATGATCAAACTAAATCTTGCCTGTAGGGAATGTACCTCAGTGGGAAAGTGTGTGCCTCATTCCCCTGAGGGAGACCCTCGGTTTGATCCCACACAAGGGAGAAAAAAAAAAAAAACAACACCAAACCCAAAGGCTCCAGAAGAAATGCTGATCTCAACAAAGTCTTCGCGGCTCGCTGAGTGAAATCTGCCTTTGCCTCAGCAAAATTAGAGAGGCTGCTGGCGAGAACAAACATTCAACAGAGGACAGCAGCCACTGAACTCAATACTGACTTTATTGCAAGTAAGTAAAGCAACGCCCGAGTCATGTGGGCAACGCACTGACCTCAAGGGTCAAACACTGCCAAGAAGCAAGGGGTTTTATGAGTTTTGGTTGTGCTTTGGGGGGGCTTTTGGAGGTATTTTTGTTTTGTTTTATTTTGTCTAATTATGCGTCACTACACATGGTTGTCTCCACACCTCCTCTCAGAAAATGTGGGTTAAGAAATCTCATGCAAAAGAAAACAGCAAAAGAATAAAAAGAAGGGAAGGAAGTTCTTCTAGCCCACAGCCAACGATGGTTTCTCATGTCTTCTGTAGACTGCTTCATCAGCATGGCCCAGTGCGGACTATGATAATATTGTGAGCAGCTTCCCTGTGAATTGAGCCACCAAAAAAACACATTAGTTAGAGTCGGAGAGATTGTACAGAGGGTAAGGCATTTGCTTAGCACGTGGCTGTGGCCCAACTCTGGTTCAGACCCTGGCACCATCAGGTGTGACCCCTGAGCACCACCAGGTGTGGCCCATAAACAAAAGGAGGGCCCACACCGATTGCCTAGCACATGGACACTAGCACATTATTTGTGTCGTGGGCTGGGGTGATAGTTCAGGGACCAGCGTACATGCTGACACTTAAAAGTCCCTGAGTTTGATCCCCACTAACATGTCTGCCCCCCCCCCTCGTCCCCCGCCACCATAGCCAACCTGGGCATGCACAGTGCCAGATCTCTAGGCACAAGCAATGAACTTCCCTGCCTGCTTGTCTGAGTATCAGCAGAAATGGCCCGCCAGGCCCCTAGAGCACAACTCAGGGGGAGCGAGAAATAAAAAGACCAGGCCAAAAGGATAGTAGAGTGGGTAGGGTGGCATGTGGCTGGCCTTGGGGTACAAGCACCGACAGGAGTGGTGCCTGAGTACCAAGCCAAGAGAAACCTGAGCATGGCCAGGTGTGGCCCCCCAAAAAAATAAAAGAAAAAGAAACATACCATGCCACTATCCATTACAATAGGTTTCTTCCAGACTTGGATATCTGGGGGGGGGGGGAGGTTAGGAGGGGCTTAGGGCCACACCTGCAGAGCAAAGGGGGTGGGCTGCTCCCAGTGGAGGTGTCAGTGCAAGGCAGCACCTTAACCCCTGAACTCTTCAAAGTTAACACTGTTTTTTCAGCGAAATTCAGAAAACACTGTGGGGCAGACACTTACCCCAACGTATCACTCAGAAAACCCAAGGGCCCACTGAAGGCTGAGGTCCAAGAAGGCACCTCCTGAAATATGAAGCCACCTACCCCAGGGAGGGCCACCCCTGCCGGCCAGACATGCTCCAGGAGCGCAGGAAGTGGATGCAGGCGCGCCTTGACCTCTTCCTGACCAGTGCGTTACCCATATATCCCTCTGAATTCAAGGGAAACATGTTCTAGGGGCGGGCAGAGCACATGATGAGCCTTCGGGAGGCCTCAGTTCCATTCCCGGCACGGCACAGTCTCCTTAAGCACTAAGCCAGGAGTAGCCCCCGAATACCACTGGATGTGGCTCCAAGACCAGAACAAATCAAGGGACATCCCCTGGTCCACAGATTACTAAATATGCTCTCCTATGGGGGAAAGGGCCTGTGGTGAACGGGAACAAACTGGGTGGTCTGGACTTAGGTTGATTAATCAATGCTACTTCTCTAATTCCGAGGGGAAAACCCTCTCAGTGAATTCTCTCATTGTAAATGTCAGTCTGACATTTTGTTGCCACATTGTTGTTGTTGTTGTTGTTTTGCCATTTGGGGGCCACACCCACTGATGCTTAAAGGGCTACTCGAGGTTTGCTGCTGGCAATGCTTAATAGACTGACTCTGTGGTATCTGGGATCAGCCAGGGCACCCGTACACAAAGCATGTGCTGGGGACCTTCGTGCGAACCCCTCTGGTCCCTAAGTGGCAGTCTCAAAACAAGTCCACATTTGATTTTTTTGGGGGGGGTCACACCCAGCGATGCTCAGAGGTTACTCCTGGCTCTGCACTCAGGAGTTACTCCTGGCGGTGCTCAGGGGACCATATGGGATGCTGGGAATTGAACCCAAGTCGGCCGCGTGCAAGGCAAACGCCCTACCCGCTGTGCTATCGCTCCAGCCCCCACATTTGATTCTACATCCAGACAAAGAAGGGCCCGGGAGAGCGCACAAGTGGCAGAGCACATACGGAGCATGCGCGGAACTCCGCCTGCGTCTCTCTGCCAGCGCCCCCAAGCCTCCCTGACGCCACTGTTCCCCTCTCACGCCGCTGGATAGGGCCCTGGTGGCACCTGCGCATTTCTGGGTGTGTGGCTCCAATTTTTTAAAAAAAGAAAAAAAAGAGGGGTTGGAGCGATAGCACAGCCGATAGGGCATTTGTTTTGAACACAGCCGACCCAGATTCTATCCCCAGCATCCCATATGGTCCCCTGAGCACCGCCAGGAGTAACTCCTGAGTGCAGAGCCAGGAGTAACCCCTGAGCATCGCTGGGTGTGCCCCTCCCAAAAAAAAAGAAAGGAGGAAGAAGGAAGAGGAGGAGGAGGAAGAGGAGGAAGAAGAAGAAGAAGAAGAAGAAGAAGAAGAAGAAGAAGAAGAACAACAACAACAACAACAACAACAACTACTACTACTACTACTACTACTACTACTACTACTACTACTACTTCCTGGGGCCAGAGAGACAGTAAAGTGGGCAGTGCCAGTGCCACGTTCCATCCGTTGTCACTCCCATGTGGTCCTCCAAGAATCACTAGGAATGATCCCTGAGTGCAGAGTCAGGAATAAACTATGAGCTGAGCTGTGGCTCCCCAAAACCATTGTTATTTTCTATGCAATAGAAAAATCAAGAAATGGACTGAAGAAGCTTTAGCCAGTTGCTACTGTGAAGTGTTACCTGATTTTCATGCACAGAGTACACTCATTAGGGTAAGTGGTCATGTCACTTCCGCAGACAGGGTTAAAGTCCCTGGGACATCCTGGCAATTTGTACTGACCACAGTTGGCCTAGAAACAGAAAGAGAGAAGTTACAGATTATCTCAAAAAAATTTTCTTTCTTTTTTTTTTTGTTTTCTGGTTTTTGGTGTTTTCTTCGTTTTGTTTTGTTTTGCTTTTGCTTTTTGGGTCACACCCGGGTTACTCCTGGCTCTGCACTCAGGAATCACTCCTGGTGGTGCTTCGGGGACCATATGAGATGCTGGACTTTGAACCTGGGTCGGCCGCGTGCAAGGCAAATGCCCAACTCGCTATACTATCACTTCAGCCCCATCTCAAGAAATTTTCATCCCAAGGGCCAGAGCAATAGTCCAGCAGGTAGAATACTTGCCTTGTACAGCCAGGCCAGGCTCCAGCCCTGGCACCCCATTATGATACCCTAAACAACATCAGGAGTAATTCCTGAGCACAGAGTCAGGAGTAAGCCCTTAGTACTACCAGGCGTGGCCCCAAAACCAAAACAAATAAAAAAATTTGCATCAGGAAATAGGTCCTAAGTATCCTAGATTTCCTCAAAACAGTCTACAAATAGTTGCACTTTCCACCAAAGAATCTTTTCCCAATGCAAAATTCTCATGCTCTGTTGAAGCAGCAGTTCAATAACTACTATGTGATAGGACAAGAGTCTCCGTGGAAGGTCGTGTCGAGTTTTGTGTGTGTGTTGGTTTTCGTTTCTGAACTGGGCCAAACCCAGTGGTGCTGTTCCCGCTCAGTACTCGGGGTACTGAGTTCCAGGGGTCAAATCTGAACCTCCCGCAAGCAAAGCAAGTGCTCCCCCCTGCTGAGCAAGCTCTGCCCAGTCTGGCTGATATTTTTAATTTTTTGTGGGAGAGGGGGCTCTGGGGACCAGGAGGAGGGCTTGAGGCCACACCAGGAAGTGCTTTGGGACTATTCCCAGCTGTGCTTAGAGGTCACTCCCTGTGGTGCTCGGGAACCATGAGACTCAGGAGTCCAAACTGGGTCTATGCATGTCCTCTGCCCACTGAGCGCTCACTAACCCAGTCTGGCTTAGTTCTAAATGAAAGTCCATAACTCCCAAGGACAGTAGAGACAAGGGCCAGGAACACTGCCCCATGGTTGGAAGCCTGCCTCATGAGCTAGGAGAGAAGGCAACTGCAATAGAGAAGGATCTCGAAGTCAATGACGGTTGGAGGGATCGCTCCGGATGGGAGATGTGTGCTGAAAGTAGATAAAGGACCAAACATGATGGCCTCTCAGTATCTGTATTGCAAACCCTAATGCCCAAAAACAGAGAGTAAGCAGGAAATTGTCTGTCATAGAGGCAGGGAGGTGGGGTGGGATGGGGGACGGGAGGGATATTGGGGACATTGGTGGCAGAAAATGTACACTGGTGGAGGGATGGGTGTTTGATCATTATATGACTGCAACTCAAACATGAAAGCTTCGTAACTGTATCTCACAGTGATTCAATAAAAAAAAAAAAAGTTTAAATTAATTAAAGAAGTAAAAGTCCAAAACTCACAAGCATATCCACTTTCCTATCCCCTGCTGAGGCAGACAGGTAGATAGGAGAGGGCCCCCAAGGCAATGGAATTTCAGAGAAGTAATAAACCCAGTGGCCCCAAAGCTGCAAGAATGAAGGCCTAGGCCTGATAAGATCTTCCTGGCACCAGTAACAGACCTAGAGAAGGGTGGGCCTCCCTTCCCGAGAAGCTCCAGCAGGGACAAAAGGCAGAAAAGGAATTTCAGAGAGGGCCAAGACCGCTCCCAACTCAGCCCCGTTGAAGACCACCTAAGCAATGGACTCTGACCTAGGGAGAATGACCCTTGGGGTCAGGTTGGAGAAACCCTCTGAGAGCCACCTTGTCCAGTTCTTCATTCATTCTGGTTTGAGGGTGGTGTTCAGGGGTGACACCTGGCTCTGCACTCAGAAATCACTCCAGGCTTGCTCAGGAGACTCCATGGAGTGCCAGGGATCAAACTCTGGTCTGGCACCTGCAAGGCCAATACTCTCTCCACTGTCCCCACAGGAAATGCTAAGGCTCCAGAGATAAGTCATGGGCATGGAGAAGTAGGGAAGAGAACTCGGGGAGAAGGAAGTTGAGGGGGCCAGAGGCTGGTGGGGCCTTCTTGAAGGGTCTAGCCTGTGAGAAGCCTCTGGCCTTCCTGCCCTTCCCCAACAGGGCCACAAAATTTAAAAGAAAGAAAGAAAGAAAGAAAGAAAGAAAGAAAGAAAGAAAGAAAGAAAGAGAAGTTGTTAGGAGTGTGCCCCTTCAGAAATATAAGTTCACAAGTCCTAATCCTCAGTACCTCAGCGTGTGACCTTTTAGGAACAGGATTGCAGAGAGAATCAGTGGGGCGGGAGAGTTGGTCCAGCGCTAGATCACTGTCTTGCACAGGCCCAGGTTTGATCCTCGGTACCACAAATGGTCCCCTAAGAGCCACCAAGAGTATAACATACCCAGGAGTGAGCCCTGAGCACAGAGAGGTGTGCCCCCCAATTTTTTTTTAATTTTAGAAAGATGGTACGCACAAAGAACAGGGCAAGAGTGGGATCCCAACCAGTCTCTACTCTGCTGAATTCACTGCTTCTGAGCTCACCCTAAAAGGCCCCCCTGTGCCTGACTTGGAGAATCCTCGGAAATGCCTGCAGGCTAAACCCCCTGCTAGTGCCCCATAAACGGGCTGCGCTCATACTCACTTGCTTGGTCTCCGCCTCCTTCCAAAGAATTAGACATCGAACATGAACTGTCTAGCACAGTGTGTAACTATTCAGTCGAGGACCTCATGGCTTGGGGTAGGCGGAAGCCTCTGACAGCCCCAGGGGGCCCTCCAGGGATATCAGGTCACCCAGGCGTGAAGGGCCCATGAGCAGAACTAGCCAGGACACTCAGGGTCCATTCGTTTTTGGGGACCACCAGGACTACCCATGGTGCTGAAGAGCTGAAACCAGAGCTATACCTGGGAGTGAGCAGGAAAAAAAAATCAATGAAGGAGGGGCTGGAGAGACAGCACAGGGGTCCAGGCACTTGTCTAACAGACCCCACTCGGGATCCATCCCTGAGCACAGAGCCAGGAGTAAGCCCCAGACACCACAGGGTGTGGCCAAAAATAAACCAATAATAACAGAAACAAAGCCCTGAGGCTTTTATGGACTGAAAATGTCTCACACTCTTCCTTTTTTTCTTTCACATTAAAAAGGCTTATCTGTGAAGCTGTTTTCTAAAGAATGAAGACAAGGGGTTGTTACAGAGCAGCCCATCTGGGCCTGGAGCTGGTACCAGGGTAAGGGCTTGCCTGGTACATGGCATACGCCTCACCACATGTACTTCCCAGCAGGGAAAAGCCCCCGAGAACTGTTGGGTGGAACCCCCCAAACAAACAGTAACAATGAAAAATTGGCAGCTCCGACTGAAAACCAGCTACCAAGCAGATCTGTCTGGGCTCGGGGGCAGTCTACTTACTGGTCTGGATTCTATGGGTTCACCGAAGTCAGGGTTCTGCAAGTCTGCAAGAAGAAAAAGTACATTTCCGTGTATACAGTGGAAATCCATTTCTTAAGGATTTGCTTTTTGAACCCAAGCTTTGATTTTCAGTTCAGACACTGCCTCCCTTCTTAGAAACAAGGACATTCGCACCCCTCCTCCCCCAAAGAGGGGATTTATTCAGGCTTTTTCTGGCAGAAGCGAGAACGACTACTGGGCATCTTTGCCGTGTAGTGGACAAGACTTGGGGCAATGGACTAAGAAGGCAGCTAAGAAACTGTACGGCTGGGATGCTCTTCTTCAGGCTCAGGATAATAGAGGCAAAAGTTAATATTCAGCTGGCCGCTGTTCACCCCACCTTAAAAACGGGGGCCAGGGGGGACGGAGTGATAGTACAGCGGGTAGAGGATTTTCCTTGCATGCAGCCCAACTGGGTTCAATCCCCCGCATCCCATATGGTCCCCCGAGCATCGCCAGGAGTAACTCCTGAGTGTAGAGCCAGAAGTAACCCCTGAGCATCGCTGGATGTGACCAAAAAAAGCAAAATAAATAATTTTTTTTTAAAAAAGGGGAGGTCTGGGGCTGGAGCAATAGTACAGCGGGTAGAGCGTTTGCCTTGCACGCGGCTGACCCGGGTTTGATTACCAGCATCCCATATGGTCCCCTGAGCACTACCAGGGGTGATTCCTGAGTGCAGAACCAGGAATAACCCCTGGGCATCACCAGGTGTGACCCAAAAAGCAATAAATAAATAAATAAATGGCAGGTCAGGTTGTGGGGACCAGAAAGCCTGTTTCTCCGAAACCCTAAGATGCTGCCCGTCCACCACCAACTCAACTGCCAATTCCGGGGCTCCCCTCCCCCAGGCTCAAAGCGGGGAGCATCCCCTTCTTCGGGGCCGGGAACCCTAAGAGCCGACGACGGCGAGGGGGCTGGGGCACGAAGGCTGCAACCCGCCCAGCGCGCCTCTTTCTCAGGGGCGCCCCCCGAACCGCCTGTAACGGCTGCTCAGGGTACGGCCCCCCCCGCCCCCGCCGGCCCGCTCGGGCGGACAGAGCCCCCGGGTGGCCCCGGCGTCGCCGACGGGGAGCCCTACCCGCCACATTGCAGGCGAGGCACAGCAGCAGCAGGCGCAGCGCGGAGAGCGCCATCCTCTGCCCGGCCCGGCCCGCCCTGCCCGCCGCCGTCGGGGCGCTCCTGTGCGCGGCTGTGAGCGCGGGACACGCAGGGCGCGCGCGGGGGTGACGGGTACGGGCGGGGCCGGGGGCCGAGCGCGGAGGTAGGGGCAGGGGAGAGGCCGGACGGGGAGCCGCGGAGGGAGGCGTCCAGGCCGTCTAGTCTCGGGATCTCGGACCACAACGGAACCTGTCGGAGCCCTGGGTACCCCCTGTTTCTAACGCATCTCTTTCTTGGTCCCAGGCGCGGTATTTGGGCGGCCCAGCTCCACCAAGTGGTACCCAGGAAGCTCCTGAGGGTAGGTGTCGGGGCTAAGGGGGGGAGGAGGGGAATTGTAAAAGTAAGTGCTAGAGCGGGGAGGGGGGAGAGGTTCCCTAGGAAGGTCAAGGAAGGCCTTTCAAAGGGGGAGACTGAGAAGGTGGCCTGGTAGCCCACGCAGGGAGAGACAAAAAGTGCGGAGATGGAGAGCCCCGCTGTGCTCAGGGCACTGCAGCAGCGGTGTTCCCAGTGGCTGGGAGTCTGGGCGAAAGAGATGGGGCACAAGGAGATGGAACCGAGGGCCAAGTACAGTGTGTGCATGAGCGGGGTGGCGGGGAGCCGGCCTGAACGCATCCAACTTTGGATTTGTTCCTGGAAGCCAGGGGAGAGCGTGAAGCAAGGCAGTGCCCCCTGATCTGACTTGCGTGTGTTTCGGTAGATGGGATGGAGAATGGACAAGATTAGGGAAAAGGGAGGGCGGGATACCCAGGAGAGGTCTTTTGCAGTAATCCAGGCCGAGAAGATGGAAGGTCGGATATGCCTATTGCCGTAGAGCGATGAGAAGTGGTTAGATACAGAATCTGTTTGGAAGGGCCAGAGCGGTAGTACAGTGGGTAGGGCGCTTGCCTTGCACCCGGCTGACCTAGGTTTAATCCCAGGTGCCGCTCATGTTCCCCAGTTCCACCAGGAGTAAGCCCTGAGCACTACTGGGTAGAGTCCCAAAACAAAACAACAACAACAAAATAATAATAATAAAGAATCTGGAAGTGAGCAACCCAGAGCGAGGATGACAACCAAGAATATTCCTTAGTCATTCCCCCTGAAGAGATGGGTGGGTGACATTTCCATGCTGAAGAATATTCGGAGCAGATGTAAATGCAGACACCACAAGCATAGCAAAGCTATTGAAAACTGTGAACCCAAAGCCCAGAGGAGAAAGATTAGCAGAGGCCCAGAGCAAAAACCTGAGGCACTATCATGTTCGGAGGGTTGGCAGATGTGGAGGGGGAAGGAACTAGGACACAGTCTGCAGTTGGTGAGCCTAGACAAGTTCTGCAACCAAGCCCCTTGCTGCTCCAGGGCCTGAATCTGTAGACTGAGGGTACCGCTCCGGTTGTCAGGGTGTACACATGATGACCTTGAGAACTGCATTGTATGGGAAAGATCAGAGGGTCAGACTGGCCCTCATGAGGCTCACCCGGGCTCAATCCCAGCACCGCCAGGACTGATCTCAAAGCACAGAGCCGAGAATAAGCCCTCAACACCTTTCACTGTGGCCCCAGAGCCTACAAAATACAAAAACAAATGCACAACAACAACAATAATAATAAGGAAAGGGAAAAGAGAAGAATGATTCCTAAGAGCGGATGGTTTCTCATGTCCAAAAGGCCTGAGCTTTCGTTCATAGGGAAGGAAGTGAAGCTTAATCAATCTCTCGAGAGTCACTGCAGAGGGAGGCCAGACATGGGCAGTGAGTGGCCTCTCAGACTACCAGGATCTAACTTGTTGATCCTGTCAAACCCTTCAATGTCTTCCTACCTTGTAAGGCCCGGGACTGGAACAATAGCGTAGCGCATAGGGCATTTGCCTTGCACGCAGCCAACCCAGGTTCGATTCCCAGCATCCCATATGGTCCTCCAAGCACCGCCAGGAGTAATTCCTGAGTGCAGAGGCAAGAATAACTCCTGTGTATCGCAGGGTGTGACCCAAAAAAAGCAAAAAAAAAAAAAAAGGCCCAAAGGGAAGTTTTCCACCTTGCCCCCGACCCTTTGCATCTGCTGTTTCCTGTGTCTCAAACGTCTGCAGCTCCTCCTCTTCCCTTCCTCCTTCCTCCATCTCCTTGTCAGAAAGGCCTTTCCTGACCATCCTACTAAGAAGTGTCCCCTGCTCCCTATTTCGCTTCCTCTACTTTGTTTTCCTTTCCCTGAAGGATTTCCTCAACAGACTTCTCTTTCCTTTTAAATTCCCTTTTGTGCCTTAGGAGGCAGCCCATGGCAGGTGAAAAGGACTCAGTACAACCGGCGATACACCAGCACTGGAGAAGCCGGGACAATATCGAGGTCATCTCCAACAGCATCCAGAAAATCTCCGACTACCTCAAATCGTTCGACGTGTCCTGTCGCTCAAGACTCGAGACGCTCCATGAGAAACTAACTGCCCTGGAGCAGAAGATGGAAAACATCGAAGAACAGATGGCCAAAGGTGAAGAGCCCCTCACCTAGACCCGGGCCAGCCGCCCGGGTCAGCTGCCCCCCTGGGAAGACCCTGTGGACCCCAGCTCCTTCCCCACTTAAAAATCAACAGACTTATTCCTGTGTCTCGTAGGTCTTTTTTTTTTCTCCAAAACTCCGCCTTTGGGCTCTGTCAATACACTGAAACTGTAAAGTGGCACGCAGGTAACAGGCCTGTCCGCTCACCCATCACACTGTGCACAACTCCTTGTCCTTGGCTGTGAGGGGCTCAGAGACAAACACTCGTGCCCCCTAAGGTCCTCTTCCTCTTCCTCCCCTCCCCTCCCCTCCTCTCCACTCCACTCCTCTCCTCTCCTCTCCTCTCCCATCCCCTCCCTTCCTCTCCCCTCCCTTCCTATCTCTGTGTCCAAACCTCTTGGACAAACCTCCTGGCCTCTGTCTCCGTGACTCTCAAAAGTCTCCTTCCCACTTGGGCAGGATAAGGGGGTAGGCCTTACTGCGACCCAGTTCAGCTGGGAAAGGGGGGTGCTGGGAAATGGTGCTACCCACTAATTTCTAGACCTTTGGGGGAGATCAAGGCCACATCCCAACTTGACTTGGAGACATTTCCCGACGTCTTCACTGCCCCTAATCTCTCAATCTTCTCACATTAAGAACAAAACTAGGGGCTGGAGCCATAGTACAGTGGTGCAGCAGCAAACCAGCAGTTTAATTCATGGAATTCTTATTGAGCAGAATGACTATTTGGTTAATATTTAACCTTAAATTCCGGTTGCGTGTGTATTCATTTATTACAGCAGAATTTGACATTGCTATAAAGAGTTCGGCTCTCAAACACTTGCTCTGCAAGTTACTGGACAATAGAGATTCTGCTTCTTTGCCTTCTCCCCATAAAACAGGTATCATAAAAATAGAATCTTGCACTAAGATTAGTTACAAAAGGAATCTGAGACACAATATGCTAAGGGCAGTTACTCAATCCCTGGGCGACCAAGTCACCTGCTCCTAACTCAGGTCACAGTGACCATTGTGTTGTCACAAAGCCAGTCTTAGCCAGCCTGACCAGTGGTGCTCTCAATTTCTCACACTTCTCTAGCCCTAGGGCCTACTTCAGTGTGCCCAGACAGGAGCTCAACAAACATCTGCTGAATTAGCAATTCCTTGAAAATGGTTAACTGATATCAAAATGAGGCAGTACACCAAAAAAGGAGACTACTGCAACCCAGAAAGAGGAATTCCCACCCAACACAGTTTCGAGAATTAGTACAGCCATCACAGGGTTCAACCAATCGACTAGAACAAGAGGCTGGAGGTAATACAGCAGGCAGAAGGCGAGTACAGAAGCAGAAGTAAGCCCTGAACACAGGTGTGATCCAAAAAATTTTTAAAAATTATTTAAATTTTAATAGCAAGCAAGAGACCCCATGAAAAATGACAGTTTTATCTGAAAAAATGACAGTTCTAGTTCAAACTGTGTCCTATAAAGCTGAACTGGGGAAGTTCAGGAACTGAAGGAACTGATTGATAGCAGAAAGAAAGCAAATATAAAAGACAATCATTGTCTTCAAGAAAAGCAAGTTGTTCAGGGTCTGGAGACACGGTTCAATGGCAGAGCATGGGGCCCTCAGGGTTCAATCCTCCTAGCACTGCAGGGGGAAAAAAGTCTTTCATAATATAAACATCAATCACTGATCTAACTAAAACGACAATGACCTGTTTCAAAAGAATGAAAGGAAGGAAAATGAACATGACTGGTGAAAGTGATAGCAGGTGGGAAGAACAGTTTTATAGACCTTTTTGCAAGGGTTTAAAGGGTGTTAAGGGGTGTAAACTGCTCATCCTAGCTCTGTGCTCAGGGATCACTCCTGGGGGGCGAGGGGGAGGGGGGCCCATATGTGGTACCAAAGATTCATTTTTTTGGTTTTGTTTTGTTTTTGCTTTTTGGGTCACACCCGGTGATGCACAGGGGTTACTCCTGGCTCATGTACTCAGGAATTACTCCTGGCAGTGCTCGGGGTATGTTATGGGATGCTGGGAATCAAACCCAGGTCGGCAGCGTGCAAGGCAAACGCCCTACTTGCTGTGCTATTGCTTCAGCCCCCTGTACCAAAGATTCTAAGTACAGTCAGTGAATGCAAGGCAAGTTTTTTAACTCCGGTAGTATCTCTCCAGCCCCCTTGTGTTGGATCTTTCATAATAAAACTCAAGGAATGAAATTCATCTAAATCTGAAACATCAATAAATATATCTGTTATTTAGAGATGTGATGGTAAGTGTCCAAAGTTAAGACAACAGCTAAAGCAGCCAGGTGAGACTCAGCTTACAGAGCAAAGAGGCCCTGAGGCCCAGCCCCACCCTTCATGGTACCTCCCCACCCCTGGGGTGACCCCTGTTAGAAAAACACAAAATGGAGCTGGAGAGATTGTCCAGAGATAGTACAGAGGGTAGGGTACTTGCCGTGCACGTGGCCAATCCAGGTTTGATCCCTGGAACCCCGTCTTGGTCCCCAAGCCCACCAGGAGTGA